TGTGTATTCAAAGTGATTAGGATAGATATATAGTTGCATTCTCTTAATGAATAGAATGATTTGTTCTAATGGTGTTTGTAAATAGGATCACAAGTCCACATCTTGTACAGCAATTAACCACTAAGAAGAATATATGCAGTGTGTTATTTGTTGAAACTGTACTTCCGATTTGATTTGAAACTGTCTCATTGCTGTTTATCAATAAAACTTTGAAAAAAATGTTTCTTGCTTAAAAAAAAAAATTTAAGTAGTAATTGTGCCTTTTATTTATTCATGTCTTAAATGTCCTTCCCCAAGAGGATTTATGACTTTACTTTTTCTCAGTCTCAACAGATTACCCCCCAACTTGCCCTCCAAGTTCTACTTCAGTTCGATAAGGCTATAAATTCTGCACTGGCTCAGAGGGTCAGGAACAGAGTCAATTTCAGGGTAAGGATATTTTATTAAATCTAGAAACCTGCCCCAGTGGTTGTTAAAGCAGTGTTTTAGGACCCTTATGTATTGATTATAAGAGGAAAAAGTGGCTAATAACGTTTTAGGACTTGTTTTATGGTAACTGAATTATACTTTTAAGTCAGCTATATACTATGTTCGTGCACTTAAGGTGACTTACAGAGTTGTTTTGAGATTTTTAGTCCATTTCATAAATCAGCCACTTTGGCTGTCTTTGCAGAATTACTTAAATTTCTTCAAATGCCTAAGAACAATTAACTCCAAAATTACAGGTATAGTAGTAGACTAATCCCTGAGGTTCAGTTATGTTTCCAAACTCTGGCCTTTACCCATTCCAGGAAAGTACAGTTATTTCTAGAAACTTCTTGTGGCCTTCCACCTACTTTTAGGTAGCCTGGCTTTTAAAAACCTGAACTAACAAACTATTTAGGTAACATGGCCTCATTGGAGTCGCGTATGCTTTAAAGACGCGCACGAAGCTGAGCAGAATTCTCTCTCAGTTTTGCAGTAATTTTGTATTAAGGACACATTGAAAGATAGTAGAACAGAAGTAATTGTACCACAATTTAATTCATGGAGCCACATAATATTGTGTATATTTGCCTATTTAATATTTATGCTTATATTGTGTTATAACCCTAATGTATAAATTAGAAGGGCAAAATATGTGAAGATTAGTACATGAAAAGAACTTATGGATTACCTTGCATTGAGAACTTCAGTGTTACGATGGGGGGTTTTTGTTGTTATTGTTCTACGTTCAATGAAAAGATTATCATTTAATAATTTGTGAGCGTTTACCTTGCCTTCACGCCGAGACTGCAGGGTTGAACACAGTAGCTAGGCTCCGAGACCTGAGTTTCACAAACCTAAAACTTGCCTGAAGTAAAAGATAGCTTTTAAGATTAGGTAAGAGTCCACTGGTCAGGATTATGTTTCTAAGACTGTACAATGTGGTGGGTGAGTCTTGACTTTTTTCTTTCTCTTTGTGTAGTACTGGGGATCAAATCTAGGGCTCCATACATGCGAGGCAAGCAAGCTCTCCGTCTCTGAGCTTCGCTCCCCGCCTGGTTCTTGAATAGGTTGTCATCTCTGGCCTACTGCCTTTATGTTTATGTAACCATACACAGAAAGCTACCCGGCTTGCCATTCGAGCCCTGATCTGTTCCTTGAGACCAGACAGACAGTGTTGCTGGGAAGTGAGCGCAGGAACTCAAGCACGCATGCGAGGCAGGCATCCCTCCGCTGAGCTCCCTTGCTGTCTCCTCTCCTTCGTTTCTAAGCTGGTCCATATTGATGCATCAGCTTTTGCCCGCGTACATTGTGGTGGGCCGCTTGGCAGAGGCAGTGGGCATCTCAATTGAATCTCTGGCTAACACTAAAGGTAACTGAACAGTTCGTGTTTCTCTTCCATGATGTTTTGTAAGCTTGTCTGCTTTCCAGAAGGGTCGATTCCGTAGGCTTTACCCGGACTTTGTGTCCCACTCATTTTTCTTTCCCCCGTGCTACTGCAGTTAAGGTTTGTGTCCCCTGCCCCTGGGTCAGCAGACTCAATCAGCTTTGAGTACAGAGTATTTGCAGGTAGTGTTCTCTAGCTCAGTGCAGCATGACAGAGGAAAAAAATTACTGTATAGTTAATAACCAGTTTTCAAAACCACATTCCTGAGTCATATTTAACTTTTTAAAAATTTGGAGTAATTTCTTGCTGGCCTATGGCAAGATTAAGCATCCACTAAAGACAGTAGAGTAGTTTTTTATGTAACATACTATTTTTTTTGTTTTAAGTTGATATTTACGTTCTATATAAGAGATTATTTAGTAGGTAGGCTGTTGTAGGAAAAATGAGGTGCATATGAGAGGTGAGGCTTTAATTTGAAATCCACCAGTAAAAACATCAAAATATATATAGTGGGGAACTTGAACTGGATTTATCTTTACGGAAAAAATTGTTTGTAGCAAGGATTTTGAAAATCCATTGTGTGCTTTTGAGAAACTGTATGCCCACAGATGGAATCAAGTGATGACTGCTTAGATATCGTGGTAGTGAGCTTCAGATAATAAAGTGAGCTTGAAAAGATTTAATGATCAAGAAAATGCCCCTTCTAATGACAGTTTCCTGTACCTGTGTAATTTTTGATGTTTTTACAGTTAGCATACACTGTGTAACTTAAGATGTCATGTTAGCTTTAAACAAAACAAATACTGCCTGCCTGTGGAAATTTACATGAATAAATGTACAGAGTCCACCAAAACAACGATCACACACTTCAGCAATTCGCTGTACTAATAAATGTCTGGGAGCTTGTGGCCACCACTTTGAGCATCTCTTGTAGTTGGGGCTGCCAGAGGTAACTTCTACTAATCTCACGAGGCCTCCATGAATGTGATATTGAAGTGTTGCTACCCGTTTTTCTCTTTTCTTTGCCTGATGTACACCTTTTTTTGCTGGTCTCTGCATATGTGAAATACTGTTATCTTGACTACCTGACTATGTGTTAAAATCCAATTTGACAAAAGCTAAATGCATCTTTAGAAAAGACTTCTTAGAGTGTAATTATCCTTTGAGCTCTTGTACTGTACTTGAGTTACTAGATGGATTCTGGTTGTACTGAAATGGAAAGGTGAGAAAGCAAGAGAATTAAATACAACTAAAAATTATGTGAAGGTTGTTACATATTGAGGATTGTACTCTGCGCAGTTCTAAAAAGGATAAATTTATGTCATTAATCTCATGTTTAAAAATTTTAAATCTTTTGTCTCAAAGTTATTTAGCTAATATTAATGTACTCCCTTAATTATGTTAAATCATAGTTATTTTAATGTAAATATAGGAGAATTTAATTTATACATAAAAAAAATTTCAACATAAATAAGGAGGGTTTTTTTTTCAGATGAATGTGGTTACATACTCCTGTGATTTTATTACTTTAGGAGATTGAGGCAGGAGCCAAGTTCAAATCCCACCTGGGCAATTAGTGAGACCCTGTTTTAAAAAAGCACCCTAGATTTGATCCCCAGTTGTGAAAAAAAGGATTTCCCCCCTCTTAGCTACACCCAAAGGGCACAATTCACATTTGGACGTGAATACGCCCTGTAACGCCTGTGTCCAGATGCCGGCTGTGAGCACAGCCCCCAGGCTCGCAGCCCTGCGCATTCATCACACCCAGACTGGGCATGTGCTGTGAGCCCCCAGAGGTTCAGGCTGCAACAGAGGAGCAGATCACATCGTTTTCATAGATTCAGAAATTCTTTTGTTGTGGCCTTTGGTGTAGGTTTGTTTTTGAGACAGGGCTTTGCCCTATCACAGCCCAGGCCAGTAAGTCTCCTGGGTACTGCCCTGGGGCTCCAGTGTGCACCACCACACCCGCTAGATCGAATTGTTAAATACATATTTTACATCTCTATTCTTTTTCTCTTAATGTGTCGGGTGTGGTTCTTCCATGTATTAATCTCTCACTACTCCACTGAAAGTGTTTGTCCAAGTAAATTTTGCTAATCTCGTGCATAATTTGTAATACTATTGATCATTGCCCATAGTTTCTCGAACCTTGGCCCGTGGAACCATGCTCGCGCACTGTCTTCCGTCCCCAGCCTCTCGTTTCAGCCGTGCTGTTGGTGGCTTTCTCGGGCGTCTGCAGGTGCCCCCTCACCCTGGGCCTGTGCGCGCTCGCGTCGCCCAGCCCCAGAGCCTTTTGGACGTCAGGATTTAGATGGCGTGAGCGAGCGTGACGGCTTCCGAGGCTAGCTGTGCTCCCCTGCGAGTCCATCGTCGCTCCGCAGGTGTACCGCCTCCCCTCTGCTCCATCCAGAGCTGTCAGGTCCTGTCAGTTCTACCTTCTAAAGTCTCCTTTTCTGTCGATGCACTTGCCTTCTGCGCAAGCTCCGCTGCCCCGGCCGAGGGCTCTTCCCTGGTGGAGTCCCTGCCGCAGCCGCCCGCCCCTGCAGCCCGTTCTTCACGCAAGGGGGAGCCAGTCAGTGGCTCTTCAGGCTCATGCCGGGCCGGCTGCTCCTGGTCTTCAGTCCTGTCCCTCAACAGCACAGCTAGATGGAATCTGTTTTTGCTGTTACAAGTAGCTCTGCAGGGAACAGCTCTGTGCTTGGCTTTTTTTTTTTTTTTTTCCTATATTAAAGATTTTAACCATTTCACTGTCTTGTCTCAAAGTAAATTTGACATGTGAATATAAATACATGTGACAAGTGTCCTTTTGTCTTGTTTTGAGGCCTCAAACTCAGTCACCCAAGCTAGACACAAACTCGATGGTCCTAGGCCTTCGCTTCCTGAGTTCTGGGGTTGCAGCCATGCCGTGGCCCCCGGCCTGTGTCTGGTTCTCTTCTGTTCAGTTTGTGTTGATACACACTCTATAGTCAGGTTTTATTCCATTTTGGGGGGGTTTCTTGGTACGTTTGTAGGACGAAATGATTACATTTATCATGAGTTGATATATGTACATTTCTTACAGGTTTTTCATTTAATGTTCAAATATGTTTTTCTTCAAAAATAAATGATTAGGGCTGGTGAGATGGCTCAGTGGTCTAAAGCACCTACTTAGAACAAGCTTAGCAAAGCACAGGGACCACGGTTCAATCCCTCAGCACCACATGCCAGCCAGCCCCACCCCCTGGTGGGCTGAGCTGGCCACACACACACACACACACACACACACAAATAAATAAATAATAAAAAACAAAAATGATTAGAAGCCTGTTAGCTCCATAAGACAGTGAATGTTGCAGTCTTGATTAATGCAGTGCTATATTTAAGACACAAGCTTAAAACTTTCCCAGAAATTGCTGTTTTGCTCAAGGTTAGAGAATTAACATATGGTAAAATAGCTATATAAAAAATTCAGGTGGACTTCCATAATTAACCACATGAGGGCAGTAGAAATATACAACTTTGTTCACATTCAGCTTCTCTTGTTTTTTGTGTTTTTTGGTTTTTTTGTTTTGGCAGAACCTGGGATTGAACTCAGGTCCTTGTGCTTGCCAAGCAAGCGCTTACTCTACTGAGCCATCTCCCCAGCCCTCCAGCTACTCTTCATTGCAGGTAACATGCAGGCTCGTTTACCAAAAATAATTTAACTTTTTAAGGTTTTTCTTGTGCTTTTTTTTTTTTAAGAATTAGGATTGGGCCATGGGGAGATAGCTCAGCAATTTAACCTGCTTGGCAAGGTCCCAAGTCAATCCCCAGGACCACCAAAAAAAAAAAAGTATTAAAATGAAGGAAAATCTTGCTTTGACATTGTGTGCTTGGAAACTCAGTTCTCCTGAATCACCTTGCAGACGAGTGGAGGCTGACTCCGTGACGTGTCACTGTTTTGTTTTGAAGGGCTCTCTAAACACATACAGGTTCTGCGATAATGTGTGGACTTTTGTACTGAACGACGTAGAATTCAGAGAGGTGACAGAACTTATCAAAGTGGATAAAGTGAAGATCGTGGCGTGTGATGGTAAAAGTACGTGTCTGCCTCTTTACTCTGGAAGCAAAGCCACTTGTGGCCTTGTTTTTACGGGTCTTTAAAAAGTCTTCATCTGGGGCTGTGGAGATGGCTCAGTAGAATAAGCGCTTCCCTGGCAAGCGTAAGGGCCTGAGTTCAATCCCCGGTTCTGCAATAAATAAATAAATAAGTCTTCACCTGTCCAAAAAGCCAGTGGAGAATGGCCCCGTGACTGTCTCCAGAGGATGCTGGCCTCTGTCCGGCCCCCTGACTTCAGGTGTGCAGGTGCGGGGTGCAGAGGACACAGGGTCACACAAACCGAACTTACATGGAACAGCACACAAGCAAGTCAGGGCTTTCCGTCCTTGTTCAGGCTCTGTGTTGCTGTGTGCTTACACATTTGGTAGCGTAAGAGTCGATTATTTTAAAGCAGACCGAGGAACTTAGCGTCCCAGAGGTGACTGCGCCCCTTTGCTCTGTCCCACTGCGCAGGTGAGCTTTGCTCAGCGGACCCAGAAGCTCTTCAGGCGCCGCATGTCGCGAGTGTCTACATCTCTGTTCCTTGTCCAGATTCAGTTTCCTTTTTGTTGATTATATTTTAAACAGGTGCTTACTTTTATCTTACAATTAAACCACTTGTTTTTAAGGCAGTCATTCCTAATAGTAAAAAAAGACTGTCACTAAGAAAGGAAGTTTTTAAGAAATGAAAAAAAGAAATAGAGGAAGTAATATCCCCATTTTTGAGGTAATGTTGGGTTTCTTCTTCTTCTTCTTCTTCTTCTTCTTCTTCTTCTTCTTCTTCTTCTTCTTCTTCTTCCTTCTTTCTTCTTTCTTCTTTCTTCTTCTTCTTTTGGGTTTCAGAAGAAATATCAGTACATAAAATGCAGTAGGGGCTCCTGAATACCAGTGTTTCAGTTGTATTAGCTAATTTGAGTTAATTTAAATGCAAGTGACCACATTGCAACTGCCTTGACAGCATAAGGTGATCCCCAGTGTGCCGCTCTTACTCAAAGATGCAAGGTGGTTTTTCCAAACTTTAGTGCATGAGAAGTCGCGAATCACCTTAGCTAGTTCAGTGGCACCTCACGAGCTTCCCTCACAGCAAAGGTGAGGAACTGAATGTCCGCCAAGGAAGGGAGTGCCTAAGAAGAGCTTCTGTTGCATTCCACTTGCCCCGTGGCAGTAGAAAGGATGCAGCGTTGGAAACATTTTTTCCAAAATTAAAATACATAGTTTGTATGTACAGGTACGTGTAATTTTAGATGATGAAGAAGATTCCTTAATAAGAGATAGGTGAGGTGGTGCTGTGAGGTCAGTTCATTTCACTGTAGAAGCTTGCTTTCTAGGCCAGCCAGATAGCTCAGCGGACTAAAGCACCTGCTTAGGCAGAGCACAGGGACCCGGTTGACACACCCCTGCCCCCGCCCTGCACCACAGTCCATGCCAGCCCTGCCCCCAGGGCGAGCTGAGACAGGATTGAGACTGGGCCAGATGGCACACGCCTGTGATCCCAGCGCTTGGGAGGGTCGCTACAAGGCTGATCTGTGTAGTGAGACCCTGTAGGCCCTGTACTAAAAAAAATTTTAAAAGTTCATTTTGTGAAATATAGTGGAGTTCCTAATACAGAAGCAGGGAAAAGTGCCGATACTGGAATTTTGATCTGTTTCTCTCCAAGAAGACAATAGGAGACCTGATAAAACAGTGCATTTAAAAGCTCGTGGGCGGCAGCCACAGCGTGGCACGGCTTTCCCACGTGCTGTCAGCCCCCGCCTAAAGGGACGGCTGCTGTGGGCTCTGGCCGGCTTCCCTCCGACCCTGCCGCCCACAGCCATTTTTTATATTCCTAATTTGCATGTAAAGTAAGTTGCCCCTTGAATTTACGCTTTCTCTCCTGTTTCCCAGATACTGGCTCCAATACTGCAGAATGAACAGGAGAGAAGAGCGGCCTCTTAGGCCACTGTCTGCTGTCATCCATCGCTTTTTGAAGAGACACATAGAAGAGACTTTATTTATTCTAGCATTGCAGAAGTGACCACACTGTGCTGTACTATCAGAATTCCGGCGGGAAATGCCTACAGCGCTGTCCTTTACATTACCTGTACTATAAAGCATGAAGAAACATAACTTTTTTTCATGACAAATCAAAGGTTGTAGCCCTCCTGAGAACAGTCTTTAATAAACTCATTTGAAAACTCATGAAGTAATGACTGAGGCAGCCGTTCAGCAGGTGATGCTGGTGCTAGGTGTGCGTTCTGACAGCGGAGAGCACACTCATTCCAGCCAATCCGTGGCAGCACAGGCGTAGTGGCGCACACCTGTGGCCTCAGCACTCCGGGCAACTGAGGCAGGAGGGCGGCATGTTCAAGCTCAGCTAGCACTACATAGCAGCCTAGCGAGATCCTGTCTCAGAAATTGTTTATGAAAAGAGCTGGAGGAGCAGCTCAGGGCCTGTGTTTAATTTTCAGTGCTACAAAAAACTAAAAAGTCATGTTTCATCACTTGTAAGTTTTATCCATGAGAAACACTTAAGTTAGGGCCGGGGAGATGGCTCAGTGGACTAAGCGCTTCCCTGGCAAGCGCAAGGGCCTGAGTTCAATCCCTGGTTCCACCAAAAAAAAAAAACCACTTAAGTTACCAAAGGGCACTTGTAAGAATTCTTGATTAGCGTGAGCCAGAATTCAGGCCTTCACTAGGTTGCAAATAGTGGCTAAGAATAAAGTTACTGTGAGTCTAGAAAGTACAGTCTACCTCTTTAAGTAGATCATGTTTTATTTAGACTTTGTCTTACAGAAAGGAGGACAAGGCTGGATTTCCTCTTTTTTTTTTTTTTTTTTGTATCTTTAGGGAAGGGTCTCACTACTAGATCGGACTCACAATGATCCGCCTGTTTACAGCCTCCCAAGAGCTGGGATTACAGGTGAGTACCACCACACCCAGTCACAATTGCTGTCTCGGTGCACCCTGGGTGCAAGGCTGGCATGGCAGGCCCAGGGATCGAACCCCTGGCCTCTGTACCTGCTTGCAGGTACTTTAATCCGCTGAGCTATTTGGCCAAAATTTCTTTTTTTTTTTGGCAGTACCAGAGATAGAACTCAGGACCCTGTACTTCGCAGGGAGGCACTTATTCTACTGAGCTATCTCCCTGGCCCAGGACCGGATTTCTAAGTCTGTTTGGAAACTTGAAATTCTTTGACTGCAGTTGATTATGCTTGCCAGAGAGAAGTGGTGTGTTGGGGTGCCAGGGGTTCTCCCGCGGTTGCCGGCTTGACCCCCTAACTGGAATGGCCGTTCACGCCATCCTCCGGGTGCCCCTCCAGCTGCTACCTCAGCATGTGGGTGTAAGCCCGGGCTCCCCCACTGGAGTTTGGGGGAGCTAACAGTCATCTTTGCACCCAGGGGCACGCGCACACCGCTCACCCATCCCCGTGATGTCTTCCTCGCCTTCACTACTAGCCACCATCACATTCTGTGTAGCGCAGCTTGAAAAAGAAAAGGGGTCAGAGCCAAGCTTTTCACTTTTTTATGCTGTTTCCTCCACTTCTCACACGTTTCCTGTCGGAATCAAAATCCTACCCATCTTCAGAGCTAAACCAGTTGTAGCTGAGTGGAGCACATTCTGAGCTCTTCCCTTTTGGCCTCTCCAAGAGTCATTTAAATACATGTAGACAAAAAGAATGTAAACCTTTTGGAGAACAATGATACATACTTCTCCTAAAGGATCAGGTATGTATTGATTTTTTTTTTTTTTTTTTGTACCAGGAGTCGGACTCAGAGCCTCATGCTTGCCAGGCAGGCGCTAGGCCACAGAGCTCTGTTCCCAGCCCTACCCTCTGTGTATCTCAGCCAACTTTTGAATAGCATTATCTTAAGTCAAACATTCATAAGTCTTAATTCATTAAGTTCTTGTTAGATTGTAGGCACATGGACTAGAACAGTGTAGGAGGAGGATTGTAAGGTTCAGCTACTTTTCTAGTAGGGTTCAGATACATGCTGTTGGGTTATACGAAGTGATCTGTACTGAAGGCTGCACAGAAGCTTGTGTCCTTAGAAGCTGTCTCTGAAATAGGACAGGTTTTTGCTTCCGGTTGGCGGAACGTGGGGCAGTTGTACTGTACGCAGCTACTAGACTACCCACAGAGGTCACTACTATGAGCTGCCTCAAGTAAACACCATTCTCTCAGTCAAAACTGGTTCTCACACTTGCATCAACCATTGTGTACACTTCTACTTTGGTTTTTTTGTTTGAGGGTTTTCTGAGACAGGGTCTCATTATATCCTTGGGGCTGGCCTTGAACTCAGTAATCCTCCTGCCTCAGTGCTGAGATTATGGGTGTGCACTGCCCCACCACACCACACCCGCTGGGGCAGGAAGGCAGAAGTCACAGCCTGACATGTCCTATGAGTCGTAATTATTTGCACATGTGACATCCTGTGACTAACACCTGTGGTGTGTGCCTTCTAATCTCATAGTATTACACTTCACCTGAATTACAGAAAAGGGTCACGCCAAGAGCTTACTTGCACCCTCGCTCCCGGCCACGGGGCTTCTGCGGCAGTAGATCTCTAGGTGTACTGCTCCACGCTCCTCACCACCCAGAAGGAGATGACCATAGCTTCACCACGTCAGCTGACTGGTGAGGTTAATGATCCACTGTGAGCTGGCTGGGGTGGAGGAGCATTTCACTTCTTGGTAGGTGCCACAGTGTCACCTTGGGTTTTGAGTGGGTCATAGTGTGCTACCAATAGTGAAGTCTGAAATTGTAGAATGCATATGAAGTGATGCACATGCAGGCATATGGTGTGATTATAAGCAAATGTATATGCACCAGCTAGGGAAGGAGTCCATAGCACAGTTGTGGATTTTATTGCTTTTCTGTATTTAGAAAAGTGTCTCACTGCGTAAATTGGACTCATAGTGATCCTCCTGTTTATAGCCTCCCAAGTGCTGGGATTACAGGCGCACACCACCACCCCCAGTCTCAGTCACTGTCTCAGCGCGCCCCAGGCAGGCTCAGGGATCAAACTCCTGGCCCCTGCATCTGCCTAAGCAGGCACCTTAACCCGCTGAGCTCTTTGGCCAGCCCTACGTTGTGAATTTTGAATTCAGTGAAAACAGTCCATGGTAAGATGTGGAAACTTGGATTCTTGTGAATGACAGTATATTACAGGCCCTGGCAGCCGGTTAGGGACATTCGTAGGGGTCTTTAAAGATCATCCAGGATGAGAAGCATGAAGCAAAGGTGAAATGTTCAAGAAAGACAGGCAGGCCGCAGTTAAGGTTAGTTTAGTGGAATGAGGACAGGAGAGAAAGCTCTAGATGGAGAAGATGCCCTCTAAATATCAACAGGTTAACAGATTGCTGTATTTGCTGGGGCCTACTGGCCTAGATGCTGGCTCATGGTCACAAGGTGGGAGGGTGGGACAGCGGAGATAGCTGGGGGTCTAAATGCCTGCCTGGCAAGTGCAAGGACCTGAGTTCAAACCCCAGTACTGCATGCTGTACCGGCCCCAAGGGTGCGTGGTGGCGCACACTTACAATCCCAGCACCGGGGAGGCTGAGACAGGAGGACCACTACAAGTCGGATCTACGCAGTGAGACCCTGTAGACCTTATAGACGCTGTCCCAAAATACAAAAAAAAAAAAAAAATTGAGACCAAAAAGTCAGGAGGAAAGCCAAGTACAAATCTCCAAAGCCTAGAATACATGAAAATACGAGGCATCTTGGGACCATGGCTAGTTATTTTAAGTATCATGTAGGTCCCTGATGATTCAGATAGCCCAACTGCAAAACAATTAGGACACAGGGTAGGGAACTCAAACTAGATGTAGCTGACAGGGTCAAAGAATCATTAGGCATGGCGATTTGTACCTAGAGGTGTTGTAACTCGGATGTACACTTTGGAGCCATAAGTAGTTTGATACTTAGGGTTTATCTCAGAAGAGCTCTTTTGAGGCCGGAAGGTTAGCAAAGGGTGGAGATAAAGCAAGCTCATCGGCAGTGGGTGCCTCGGAATTCCACTGTTCATCCTACACTGGTCTTCTTGAGGATGTCCATACCAAAGATGGTCTTAAATATCCCCCGTAGCGCTCATGGCTCACAGGTGAGGCCCCGGGAGAAGAGGAGCACTAGTTTCCTGCAACCTGGCCGTCTCCCACACGTATCACCACCCCTGGCCTTATGCCTAGCTGCCTGCCTGTTGAGATGGAGCCACAATCAGTTCCCTGAACTCGTCCTATATCTTTCGCCTTCGCAGCCCCATTTGCCCGCCCATGGAACTCTTCAGCACTCTTGTCTGTGCTGAACTCCTTCGTGGCCCGGCTGATTGTGGGCCACTGTGGTGGTCACTGTGCTGTAGGCCTCTAGTGGGCTCTGTGGACACCTCCCTTCGAAGCACTCCTGCTGGGCACCTGTCGCTGCACTGTCTTCCCGCCCCTCGTCCAGCTGGATGGTGTGGACCATGCTCTCGATCTGTCCCTTCCCACAAGGGCTGCTCCCTGGCCCAGCTTCCTGGGCCAGCTCTGGCCCTGGGTGGTCTGTTCTGCCTCCTCCATGCAGCCAATGGAGGGGGATGGGCTGCTCTCCCTTTAAACTCTCTTCCTCTTAATGACATTGGGGGCTGCCCGGTGTCCTGTCTTATTTCATTGGCCTGGGTTCTCTTTAAACTTTTAACGTGAAGCCGATATTTGTACCTTCTTTTTCCAAACCTCCACTATCTCCCATCATCAGTCTCGCAAAATCATCTTGCCCTCTATTTCATTGAAAACTAAACATATTCAAAGGAGAAGTTCCTATAAGCATGTAAAACCCTACTCAGCTTCATTAGTCATCCGAGTAATGCAAATTAAGCCCTCAATCTGATAGCACCACCAGCCACGGCTCTGGTTAGGATGACAAAGATGGATAGTAAGATTAGCTGGTAGCGGGGCAAATGTGCCTCCCACAGTGCCAGTGGGAGTGTAAATTGGTAGATCATTTTGTAAAGCTCTGACTGTCCACTAGAGATACTCCCACATACACTCACATTTGAAATTATACATGTGTTCGCTAAAAG